CACACACACACACACACACACACACACACACACACGTATGCACAAACACTTTCAAGCACACACACAAACGCCCTCTCTCTCTCCCTCAGAAGACTCGCAGTCACCCAAACGCCAGCTGATGTTGCTGACAATGGGCCGCAGTGGCTCCACCTACACATCCGCCATCATCAGCAATAACCCCAAAGTCTTCTACGTGGCAGAGCCCTTACATCGACTTCCCGATGGTATCAAGATCTATGGAAAGACCGCTGTTGAGTAAGTCAAAGAAGAGTTCAGTTTTTGTAAGTGTTCCCGGCGCTTGTCGAGTGGGTAAAATGAAATACAGTCTTCACAAAAAGTTTAGGACCACTTGCAAAAGTGCACGAAAAATAAAAACCAGCTAATCAAATTATTAATTCTTTATAATACATTTAATTCATCAATCTATGAGTGCAACAAAGAAATTTCATCAAAATCAAAACCGAAATGCATTATTCCCAGGGCTCAAAAAGAACCCACCCTCAAAATTGAAAATCAAAAAGAACCCACCCTCAAAATTGAAAATCACAAAAAAGAAAGGCATGGGGGATGTTGTTCCATTTTTGTTACTGCCATCCAAGCAGCTGCTGGCGGGCAAAGGGTAGTTCTCCCGAACTCTCCGATCAAACTCAGCCTACAACACTGTTCGATAGGATTGAGGTCTGGACTGTTGGCTGGCCAGACCATGCGGGTAATCCCCGCCTGCAGCACGAAGGTGTTGACGGCCCTGGACCTGTGCGGAGTGGCGTTGTCGTCCTAAAGGAGAGCAGCAGGCCCAATCTGCTGCAGCGCCGTGACGACCAGAGGTCGAAAGATCTCCTGCAGATACCGCTGCCCAGTCAAGATGCCTTGACTGCCTTGCCGTGAATGGTGGACACATGCACTTCTGACAATTCCATAGACATTCACGAATTTGAACTGGTCTTTTTCTTTGATATTGCTGAGACTTTTTGAGACCCTTTCTTTTGTGATTTTCGATTTTGAGGGTGGATCCCTTTTGAGCGCTGGGAATTACGCGTTTTGGTCTCGATTGTGATAAAATTGTTTTTGGCTCTTATGGATTGATGAATTAAATGTGTGTCAAAGAAGGCGCAATTTGATTTCCTGGTTTTTATTTTGAGTGCACTTTTGTAAGTGGTCCTAAACTTTTTTGTGAAGACTGTATTATGTTCGAGTCTCAAAGAGTGAGTGCTGCAGAGTTTGGTTTTCGAAAATGTTTCACGACACTTGCAATGAAAACAAAAGTAAACTTCAACATAATTTAAGGACCACCTTGACAGACAGCCGTGACTGTTTTAAAATCCGAAAAAAGACAGCAAGAAATGTATCAAAATTGTTTGCTCTGAAAGTGTTAATGGGGTACCAATGCATACTGCAAAAGCCTCCTAGAGGACCCAAACCACCACGTGCAGCAGGGAAATGCTCGGGAAATTTTAGCCCAATTTGCTGTTTTTATCGACTTGTGTGCTCGCTACACCATGGACATTCCTCAGTTTAAATTTCTGGTGCACGTGATAAACGGACGTACGGTCTCGAACTCTGCTCACTTTGGTGGCAATATAAACCACCGTTTGCGCAAAACCCAGTATCGCATCAATATGCTCCAAGACGAAAGCTGAGATACTTTGATGATCGTGCCAGAGCTATGGCATGGCTGCATGATGGAGTTGGGGCCTGAGAAGTAGTCAGAAGGCTTGCAGTGTCACACTCTGGCATAGTCCGCCTGAGGCAGCGCCATCAAGCCTCCGGATCAGTCCAAGAACGCCCACACGCAGGTTGACCCAAGAAGACCACTCAGTGTGTTTGCAAGTGGTCCTTTACGTATGTTGAGGTCTGTAGGTCAAATAAGTGTTGAAGATTTGAGGTGTTACTATAGAGTAACTTTCAAAGAAAAGGAGGAGAAGTAAGGTCTATAGATGTTTTATGGTAAAGCAAATCACATTGGCGCACCTGTTAACCACCCACAAAATGTCGCAGAAGCCAAATCATGTGAACAGTTATGTATCACATGGTCTCCTAACGTTCGCAAAGGAGTAGTTTTCAGGTTGAATTAGATTCCTTAAATTTAAAAAAAAAATACAACAAAACTGACGATACCAGAGGTAAAGGTAAGACTGCGAAACAGAGATTCCGGGGGTGGGGTGGGGAGGT